CCCTCCTACGTGCGCACCACCATCAACAAGAACGCCCGGGCCACCCTGAGCAGCATCCGGCACATGATCCGCAGGAACAAGTACCGCCCGGACCTGCGCATGGCCGCCATCCGCAGGGCCAGCGCCATCCTGCGCAGCCAGAAGCCCGTGATGGTGAAGAGGAAGCGGGCCCGCCCCACCAAGAGCCCCTGAGCACCCCTCCCCTGAAGCAATAAAGGGTCAGCCGGCTCCTCAACCTTGCCTGGCCTCAGTGTGTGCGACCCCGCCCTGTCCCTAGAACTGTCCGCTCGTCTCGGGGGCTCCCACACCCACGGGCACTGAACAAACGTGTTGGCACTGAGGGGCCAGGTCTGGGGCAGGGAGACCCTAACAAGTAACGACCTCTAGTGACTGGCTGGCCCAGCATCTGGGCTCCCAGGGGAGGGCTGGGGGCTGGTGCAAATTCCTGTGTTCAGTGCATCAGAAGGCCACAGTGCGCCAATCAGACAGTGCAGATTGAACAGGGAACATCCTCGGACCCCACACTGCCAGGAGGACCTGACCGCTTCAAGACCTTCCATGGGTTTCCATCCCTGAACATTTAGGGTGCGTTTCCTAAGGGCTGTGGGCCTGGCCTGAGCCAGCACACTGGTCAGTCCGCTCACCGCACCTCAGCTCCAGCCCTCTCTGTGGCCAGCGGAGGTGGGAGTGGTTACCATCCAAGTCTTTTGAATTGATTTCAGGGAGAGGGAGAGAGAGATATTGATGAGAAAGATGGATCGGCTGCCTCCTGCACGCCACCTCCCGGGCATGGAGCCTGCCACCCAGGCATGTACCCTGACCAGGAGTCAAACCAGTGACCTGCCCAGCATGGGGCATGCAGGAGGCAGCCGATTAATGATTCTCGTGTTTGATATTTCAATCTCCCTCTCTGAAATAAAAAAAATACGTTCAGTGCTAAGACTGGAGCCTGCGCACAGCAAGTTCTCCGTCATTCAGTGGAGAACATAAACCCTGTGAGCAGCTGGACCTCTCATACATGCCCTGTGCGTGTACACATACATACATACATGTGCGGAAGTTTAAAAATTTGGCTCTCAAAATTTCAATTGTACTACTGATATTTAGCTCTGTTGACTAACGAGTTTGCCCTCTCTTTTATACATGCCCTGTGCGTGTACACATACATACATACATGTGCAGAATGGCCACTTCTCACTCAAATGCCCCAGACAGCCCCAAAGCAGGTGGCATCTCCACAGATACAGAAACAGGTTCATGTTGGGGGACGGTCACTGATAACAGGTCCTGACACGTGTTTTTCCTACCTGCTCTGTGCCAGCCACGTTACTGATGTTCTATCTCCCTCTCTGAAATAAAAAAATACATTAAAAAAAAAAAGATTCTCCTAGCCCATGGTCGGCAAACTGCCGCTCACGAGCCACATGCGGCTCTTTGGCTCCTTGAGTGTATCGGCAAACGCGGCTCTTTGGCCCCTTGAGTGTGGCTCTTCCTAAGCCTTAGGAGTACCCTAATTAAGTTACTAACAATGTACCTACCTGTATAGTTTAAGTTTAAAAAATGTGGCTCTCAAAATAACCGTATTATTGATATTTGGCTCTGTTGACTAATGAGTTTGCCGACCACTGCCCTAGCCTCTCACCCTCTTACCCCCTGCCTGGGTGCCTCAAGTCTCGGTATTTATCAACCTGTGATCGATCACAGGTGTCAACCACCACCTCTGCCTCTAGCTGTGTGTCCTCGGGGAAGTAACTAGACCTCTGCATCTTGTCAAAATTCAGGGGGTTAACGAACACAGTGCTAAGACTGGAGCCTGCGCACAGCAAGTTCTCCGTCATTCAGTGGAGAACATAAACCCTGTGAGCAGCTGGACCTCTCATACATGCCCTGTGCGTGTACACATACATACATACATGTGCGGAATGGCCACTTCTCACTCAAATGCCCCAGACAGCCCCAAAGCAGGTGGTATCCTCAATTCACAGATACAGAAACAGGTTCATGTTGGGGGACGGTCACTGATAACAGGTCCTGACACGTGTTTTTCCTACCTGCTCTGTGCCAGGGGCCGAGGGTCACATCAAGGAGACCCCCATCCCTGCCCTGGGGGACCCGTGCAGAAATGAGACCCTTGCTCCTGTCCCACTCCACAGCTTTGGTCTAGGGCCTCTGAGGACCCCGGCTGGGCTCCGGGCCCAAAGCCCTGCCAACAGGGGCTGACCACACAAAGGCAGAATTCCTCCTGGCCGCTCCAGCCCTCCCAGTGAGTGCACATGACCCTGCCCACTTCTTGCCAGAACCTTTGGTCTGCAACCTTGCCCGGAACCCTCCCGCAGCTCCCATACCTGCCAGTGAAAGGCAGATCCATCGGTGCCATGTCCATATCACCTCCCTGCACCCAGATGCCCGGGGCACCTGCGCTGGCGAAGGCTACACATGACAGCATGGTCAGGGGTCCGGGGTGCGTGATGGGAAAGATGGCACAACGTGAGGCACACCTCTGGATGTCGGGCAGAGGCGGCTAGGGCACGGAAGGGCTGCCGTGCTGATGGGGATAGACCTCCAGGGGTGGCCTGCTGGGTACCGGACGCTGCTAGTTACTTAGAATATGTATATACTGGTATATAATATATGTATGTGTAAATGTGTGTGTGTGTGTATATACATACATATGTATGTATATATATGTGTGTGTGTGTATATATATACACACACATACATACATATACAGCCATCCATCCCAAGGGCCATGGTGCAGCAGACCGCCTGCTGGGAGGCCAGAGAGTTAAGACACCACTAGGCTCACCTTTGCCTTAACTCAGAGATGGTGGCCCTGAGTGAGCTGGACTTGGCGGTGAGGGCTCACTCAGGGGCCGTGCCCAGTCCCTGCAGGCCGAGTATATAATTTTTTTTAAGAGGAAGAGAGAGAAACATCAGTTTGCTGTTCCACCCATTTGTGCATTCACTGGTTGATTTTTTTTTTAACGTCATTTTATTGGAACTACCTTTTTGTTTTTTTAAAAATATATTTTATTGATTTGTTACAGAGAGGAAAAGAAAAAGAGAGCTAGAAACATC